AAATTTTGCAATAATCTTACGCCACCCTTGCACAAATCGACGATAATTTTTCTAATTTCATAGACAACAGAAGACTGTATTTTTTCTACATAACCCCCCCCCCTGACTTTAAAACTGGATCGGCCCCTGCGTTAGTTAAGTAGTTTGTCTTTGTAGTCCCGATTTGCTCATCCAGACTTTGCTGATAATTTTCTGTCCCAATTAAATGTGATCCACAAATTGTAATTAATAATTGTTAGTCGAGAGAAATAACAGTTCTAATTAATGAAATGTAACGACGATTTCGGAGCAAGTTTAATTTGAAACATAATAATTATACTCCGGCTTAGATTCGACGCCAAAGGGAACTGTTCCAAGGGTGGAGTGTTGCGTTAATGAGGCCGAGGGTCATGGAATATTGAAATAGATGCCTACTGGAGTTAGGTATACAGTTTCGTTTTTTTATACTTTCCTGAATAAATCGACTGAATTACTGGAAATGTAACTTTGCAAAAGACAGTTCAGCACTTACCAATGAAGACATACGAACTGTCTGGCTTCAGTTCTTTAACCAGCATGAAAGGGGTCTGGACTCGATGGGCAGCGATTACCCAGCCAGTTTGGAGATCCGGACTCCAGTACTCCACCGTGTACCCTACCAGAGTGGAGTCGGATTCATCCGCCTCCCAAGACAGGCTCATGCTGGACTCGGTTGCATTGAGAATGGTAGGCGTTGAAGGGGCCTGAACATGCACAGTTATTATTGTGAAATAAGCACTGAAAAATAGACTCACCAAAGGAAAAGTGGATGGATCGGGGCTGCGATGAAGGGGCGCATTGGCGCCTTCTACCACATTCAGAGACGCCGACCAGGCGCTTTCTCCACTCTCAGATGTGGCTGAGCAGGTGTAAAGGCCGGAATCCTCCATTCTCAAATCTAGAATAGAGTTCGTGATAATCGAATACTGATTTTAGTTGGCTGCAAATTCGTCGGTTTAAATATCGCGCTTTGCTGGACCTCCTCTGTTAAAGTTAGTATGGAGCGCAGTTCTGCTTCCGAATTATTATTATTACTTTCCATCCCAGTTTGGAGCAAGGGCGGATCCAGGGGGGTCATGGGGGT